AAAAAAATGTAGTTATCCCTAATAATATGGATATAATAGTAACTAGTAATCTGGACCCTTAGTTAGTTATTTTTTTGTATTGGTAAAAGTATATTTGTAGATCAAAATTGTAGTTCAGACAACCGATAATCGACATAGAAAAGCGCAGCGGGCAACTACAAGCTCGGTTCATTACTCGCGAGGCGCGAATATTAATTTGTTAGTTACTTACTTTGAAAAACCCGCAGCCCTCGGGAATTATTTGTGCAGTAGAATCCGTATTCACGCAACACAGACATAGAACAGATACGAGAAAGCCGACGGAATCGGAGGGAGACTGCACCCGCACACGAGGGAGATAATCTCTCTTTTATCTTTTTATTTTTATTTAACATGTTAGGCCAGTTTTTATTTCTAGTTCCGGGGAAATCGAACCCTAAGATTGTCTATGTTTTGATTGATTATGGTTGATGATTTTATTATCTTTTTGGAATTGTTTGTGTTATTTTGAATGATTCACCATGATGTGTTGAGTTGAATTTAGATTGATCACCTAGATTAGGCTTTACATATCTACACCTGAATTAGGCCTTCAATCCGTAATTGTTGATGTGTTTAATTCGTAAGTGGTATCTGGAAGATGGTAACTACCGGGGATAACACGACCTATTTAAGTGAACGAACGCGTCACTACTTAGTCTAGCCTATCTTTCTAATTCATAAAGCGACTGATTGTATTAAATCTAAGAAGCGTTTTCTAGATTGTACAAGAAGTCAGGTCTAATCGTAGAGCGTCTCGCCGTTAGATTAAAAATAAGGAAAAATTCGGGTAACAGACAGTGTCGTTGTCTAGGGCTAGTAATTTCATAAGATAACGAGATTTGATACCAAAGTTGATTGGACAAGTCGGTCGAGGGTGTAGACGGAACTGTGAACTAAATTTTCTCTTATTTATTTTATTTTATTTTTATTTTTATTGTTTAGATTTTATTTTAGTTAGTTTAGCTATTAAATCTCAAGTCAAGTCAAGTCAAGTCAAGCCAAAAATCTCATGTTCAAGCTCATGTTTGATTAATATATGAGTCAGCTCGGCTTGACTCATTAATAAACAAGTAAGATCTAACTCAGTTAATACGCAAATTAAATTAAGTGTTTGAGATTAGTTCCTTTAAGTATAATATAAAATTGAGCTTGAGTTTTTATGAGTCAAACTGAACTTGTGCGCAAACAGTTTTGTTCGAATAATAGCTCTAGTCCCCCCTAAAGATTCTTTCTAGATCCGCTCCTGGTTAAATCCAGCATCGTGACACTTGAAAGAGAAGGATATAGTAGTAATGTTGATTCCAATATATAAATCAATGTTTGTACTCAATAACTAAACTATTTGATCATCATCACTTCATTGTTTAGCAAAACTGAGGATTGTAGTAGAATATAGAATAAATAGATGTTCGAATAACTAATGAACTAATCGGAATTTGATTGCGTTTTCATAGGACTGACACTTGCTTGCATATGACACGCACGCGAGACTGCGACTTGTGGGTCGGATAAAGACCCGTTAACTATTCGGTCCGCAATCCATTTGTTGGCAGCTTCAGTATAGTGCACCCCATCCCAGCTGATGACTTCAGAAGGATTAGGACAAGAAGTTGCAAATACTTTAGTACCGTTTACATTTCCTGTGTTTCCACAGTAAACATCATAGTCGATCCCATGATAGCCGCAACATGTGGCGAAAGGGTCTTCAAATCCTGCAAAATTGCTCAACAATAAGTAGCGCTTAATATCTAATGTTGAGTAGCGCTTTTGTGGTGAACGTATTAACGGGTTTTAATTACCTTGATTCTTGGCTGTGCTGATTAGTTCATACTTGGCAGCATACACATCAACATAGACTATGGATGCATTGGAAAGATTGGCCCTCAGCTTCACAATTTCGTCCTTTAATACTTTATTGAATAGCAAAGCTACGTCATTTTGGATCTTCACACAGCCAAACTCATCAAGGTACCCTGGCGGCACAGGCTTCTGTACCTTTGCAATTGCCACGGGCAAGCACCCGATTGGGCCCGTGTTGTGTATCCAAAATGTTCGTGCTCCTCTTTCGTATAAAACCTACGTTTTATACGTTATGTTGCAATTTGTATCATTTTTGGTATATTACTCATAAAAAACAGTACGTTATGTTGCACTTTGCATCAGCTTTATGACATTAATCCCCAAAAATAGTGAATCATTTTCGCTATAATGTCCCAAGAGTAAACAAATTGCAACATAACGTACTATTATTGACGAGGAAGAGTTACTGTACCAAAAAATGACTTTAAACAACTAAACGACCAAAATTGAATTTTTGTCTTTCATATTTTAAGTAAAATATTTTTTTCTTAATGAAAAATACATAAAGGGAAGAAAGGGTGAAACTTACTCCAATTTGTGAGATAAACTGAGCAACGATTGTGGGTATGGCTTCCTTTTGGTGTTGATAACTTAAAGTTCGGATACCAAAAGCGACATCGTTTTGGCCAATATCCACTGTGAAAAGCGCCTTGAACAAATCCAGATCAGGATTTGGTAGTCTGTATCTTACGCACTCGTCCTTGCCTGTACGGATAATAACAAGACATTAATGTAGTTATCCCTAATAATATGGATATAATAGTGATTAGTAATCTGGACCCTTAGTTAGTTATTTTGTTGTATCGGTATAAGTACATTTGTAGATCAAAATTTGTAGTTCAGACAACCGATAATATAATCGACATACAAAAGTGCAGCGGGCAACTACAAGCTCGGTTCATTACTCGTGAGGCGCAAATATTAATTTGTTAGTTACTTACTTTGATTGTAGAGATGAGGTGCTCTGTCTTTAAGCTGGGTATAATGCTCAACTTGGATTTCAAGGGGGAATGGGCTGGCACCGGTGGCAAACCAGGTCTCGTTAGGCCTGACGATGGTTGCACCTCCTGTTGCGAAATTTGCACCTTGCTGGTAATTGGATCCAATTGAATCAAGGTATGAACTCAGGTATGGTATCCCCACACTATCAGCTTCATGCCCAAAAAATAAAATAAAATAAAAAGGTTTAGAGCTTAATTTTAGTTATCAATTATTAAAATTTAAATAAGGTTTGGTTACACATTTTTTTTAAATAAAACTTTTATTTTATAGCAATATATCATATTTTTCTTCTTTCAACGATTTATTATGTGACATAATTATTTCGTATGTAAAATAAAATACATTATTTTTATAACACAAAATAAATTGATATTTATCTTTCAATTATCATTTTGAAAATGAATACCTTTGGGGCTCCTAATAAAAGTAAAAATATATAATAAGTTAAATATTAGTACAAAATCACATATACATAATTTAATATTTTTATATAGGTTTTGAAATATTTTTTTATTAATAATATGAAAAAATTTGTGTACAACAATTTGAGGCATCAATTATATAACCATGGAATAAAAATAAATGCAAATAACTCACTATGCATGAGAGAAGAAATCATAATGTTCGAAGCATGCCACTTCATGAATTATGAATAAAAAAAGTTGGTAACTTTTAAGTAGCATAATTTAAACATTATGAATTCTTAAAATTATAAATGTAACATATGATAATATTTATTTATGTTTAATGATGCGTTATCAATACAAAAGTAAATCTATATCTTTATCTGCATATATTGAAAGCAGTTGATGGAATAATCTTAAATAGTAACTTTGACTTCTTAATTAAATAGTCTGACTTACTATTAACGAAAATATAGTAAAAATTACATTAATATATATAAATAAAATTAAAAATTAAATTATACCTACCTATTGTGAATCTTGCAATTCGGTTAATAGAACAACTTTCTACATAAATAAAGTGGTATCACTTTTTAAATTATTTTGTAATAATTATCGCAATTAAAATCCAGTTCTTCGTATTAATTACGAATTGCTAGAATTTCTTATTCTTCTAAAATTATACAACATATCTTAAAATATGCATCTATTAAATAGTTTTTTTAGAAATTAATATTATTCGAATATCATGATAAAATTACAAATATAATTAGAAAATAAAAATTTAAAATCGGTTATGGAAATTTTATTTTGATATTTATCACAATGTTGTAATATCTTATTTACTAACACTAAAAATTAAAAATTAGTTATGAAAATTTTATTTTGATATTTATCACAATGCTACAATAGAATCTTATTCATCAACATTAATAACAAGTCACCGTAATTTCCTATTCATTTGGCGACCAACTATATACCAAAATATTTTTTATCGTATCTTCAAAAAATCATTTATTCAAGAGGATCATTTTAGAATAATTTGAATTATCAATAACTCAGCCGATTAAGTTTTTTAAAGTTGTAAATACTGTATTCCAAAATATCAAAAAAAATAAAAATTAACTTCTTATCTTTAATAACAATCTAATTCTTATTCTTAATAACAAATCATATTTTCTTCTGCTTTTTGGGTAACCAACCATATGTAGACCGAATTATGCATGGGAACATTGCAAAATATAAGTACAAAATAAATCTCTACGAAATCAATTGCAATATTCTTATTCCTATAACTACTATAGTACTACAATATAATTGATATCTCGACATCAATTACAAATCTTCGATCATTTGGTAAAGAGACTTATATACCAAAAATTATATATTCAAGGAGCTTAGAACATCATTTGATATATCGATAACTGCACCGAATTAATTTTCAAAAAACTCATATTGTTATTCACAATATCATTAAAAAATTCATACAATTTAGTAGATTAGAATGAAAAATTTAAAATATTTAAAATATACACTATTATTAATTAATAAGAAATAAAAAATATTGATGTAATAAAAAATTACATCAAATAATTTTTAACTTCAATATAAGTTATATTACATTCTTTTTCAATCTTAGTTATTTTATATTTGACATAATTTTTCAACTTTAGCGCAACTTATTTAGAAATCGACATAATATATTGTAATAAGGTATGTGTAAGGGAAGAGCGAGATTTATATTTTGTAAGTAATATTTATTGATTATGTTTAAAATTTTAAACTTTATTATGCTTAATTATAATCATGAACTCTAAAATGACAATTATTTTATAGAGATTTAAATAAACATATAAATCATATATTAAATTATTAAATATCAAAAAACAAAAGAAAAATTAATATTAATATTCAAATTTATACTAAAAATATTTCATTTCTTTTATACAAGCAATTTCTAATTATTGTCACGTGCGCCGCACAGGATATTTGCTATTATTCCCTCCTTTTTTAAATAAATATTTTTTTGACTTTTTTGATTCAACCATTTTGCTATGTATCTAGACATATTAATGTCTAGATACATAGCAAAATGGATTAATCAAAAAAGTCAAAACGACATTTATTTAAAAAAAGAGGTAGTATACATTAAACAAAAAATTTTGGCATAAAAAAATATGAAATATGTTTTATTATATTTAACTCATTATTCTAATATATAAATAGCAGGTGTGAACAACTACTCCAGGTATTGATGGATAAATTAATAAGAACGATAATAATA